TTGTTGTAGTTGTTGTTGTTGCTGCTGCTGTACTAGTTGTGGTAGTTGTTTTTGATGTTGAATTTATTGTCCATTGAAATAGAATAATTTGAATCAATAAAAAATTGAACTCATTTCCAATATATCAAACTAAGAACGCTTGACGGCGTAATGCCAATAGAACATTTATTAATTCATCATTTGTATGCAACAAAAATTTAGCAGGCCCGTATATCAGGTTTGATGAATAGCTGTGTAGATAAAAGTACACTTATAAATGAACAGAAAAATTTTCTACGAAAATATGCCAGAAACTGAATTAGAAAGAAATATTTATATACATTCATTCATACATACATACATACATACGAAACGAAACGAAAAGAAACGAAATTTTATTTGCTTCTCAAAATTAAAAATTAAAAGAAAGCAGCATGACCATAATAGAATTTATAAAAAATTCATCTAGTATGGCCTCCTAAACAGAAACGTTCTATGTTCGTACAAAAGTTTTTCAGCAAATAATAAAAATTTTCCCCAAATGATCTATGAGAGGCATGTTAGATGTTAGTTGTTAGTAAATTAACGAACTCAACTATGTTAGCAAAACAGGTGTTAGTTGTTAGTACGATGGTTCACGGTTTATATGTAACAATGTTTGGTATCTATCCAGAAAAACACGGGATAGACATTACATGGTTATCTATATATTTAAGCAACATATAGAACGACATGAATAGTAGATCTCACAGTAAATAAATATATAAAAACTATATACTGATGTCTGTAGATTTTTTCAAGTGAGTAAATTAGATGCGACTTTTCCAATGAGATCAATCAATAAAGCAATCAACCAATTCCTCAATCAAGAAATCAATATAATAATTAGAAATTTAAAGCGATAGATAATAAAATAAATAAATAAAAATTGTACAAATACATCCGCTCGTTTAGCGATCAGCAACAGTTAACATTCAATGTCATTATTCAACAAATAAATTTTCAATTTAATTTAAAAATTTGCTTCATTAATTTTATTGAATGGAGAACCATGTTTTAAAATAGCATTCCAAATTCTTGGCCCTTTACAAATGATATGAGAAAAAAGTATGAATGTTTTTGATTTATTTGCTAATATATTATATTGACGTATGGAATTATTTATCAGAATAAAATAATTATTGAAAATAGAAGGAAGTTTGTTTGAAAGTTGTTTATATACAAAATTGGCTGTAAAATATAAATTTAATTTATCAAAATCTAAATTATTATTTAAT